TGCTGAAATGGATTTCGCTCTAGCTGACGCTGATTTTTATTCACAGTACATTTTAATTGTAAAACATGACTTTAGGCTGGTACAAACATGTCCTCCAGAAATGGTTCTGCTTTGGAAATAGGACAGTTTCTCTCAGTGCCTGACTGGTGTCCTAACTAATCTCCTGATATTCAGGTAATATTCTGACATTATGCTAGGCCAGAATACCGCTAAGCTCATGTCCAGACAGGATCCAGAATATTAGCTGTGCCTCTGGACACACATGTACAAAACCATCTGTATTTCAAAAATTGGCTTCACTCCTTTAATCAATCTGTGATTCAACTGAGGTCACTTCAAATGCAATCCAACAGAGTCATGATCTACTGAATAGAATAAGAGAGTTGGAAGGGACTTTGGAGGTCTTCTAGTCCAGCCTCCTGCTCAAGCAGGAAACCCTACACCATTCAGTGGCTGTCCGGTCTATTTTTGAAAACCTCCCACAACTTCTAAAGGCAACTTGTCCCACTTCTAACTGTCAGGAAATGTCTCCTTAATTCCAGGTTGCTTCTCTCCTTGATGAGTTTCCATCCATTTCTTCTTGTCCTGCCTCCAGGTGCTTTGGAGAATAGATTGATCCCCTCTTCTTTGTGGCAGCCCCCCCTCAAATATTGAAACACTGCTGCCATATAATCTTAAGTCTTTATTTTCATTAAACTGAACATATCCAATTGTTGTGGTTAGGTGTGGATGGCTGAGAAGAGCGAGGACTCAGATGAGGGGCCAAGACCATTAGGGAGTGGACTGCTGCCTTCAGAGATTGTGGGGGCTGGCAGCAGCGATGAGGAGGTTCGCAAGGAGCCTGTGCCAAGTGCACGCGCACGCAGGGCTGCTCGCAGGAAAGAGCAGCTGCAGCAGCACGGGTGACTCAAAAGTAAGGCTGCAAGGTAATGGCCCCTCCCTTAAGAGATAAAAGCCAGCTGTGAATCAGACGTTCTTTGCAGGAAGCAAAGACGTTTTGAAACTCAGCCTCATGGACGTTATAGTATCTTAAGTTGGTATTTGAAGACTCCTGTGTTGTAAACTATTTCTTATCTGTTGTTTTTTGTCAGACTTGAAAAAACTTGGCAAGGCTCTTTCTTGTCGGAGCTAATTAGTTGGAAGCAGCCTGAAGAAACAGGAAGAAACAATCCTGAAGAAACAGGATTCTTAGCTGAAACATAAAAAGGTTATACTGCTGCCTTTGTTTGGTGTTTGCTCTGTTGGAACCAGGTTTGGGTCAGAACACCAATTCCAGCAACCATTCTTCCTATGTTTAACCTCCAGTCCCGGGATCATCTTTGTTGCTCTTCTCTGCACTCTTTTTAGAGTCTCTTTTTTGCATCATGGTGACCAAAACTGGACATGGTATTCCAAGTGTGGGCTTACCAAGGCATTATAGAACGGTATTTAAGCGATCTTGAGCCAAGTAAGAAAGGTTCTGTAAGCATATTCCAAGCTCATATAAGAAACTATTAAGGGAAGTACTTCTCTTGGTATATCAAAAATCTCATTTTATTATGAACAGAAGCATAACTGCACTGTGTGTGTGTGTGTCTCTCTCTCTCTAGAGAATTTGCATCCATCAAAGGGAGGAATTGCAATGCGAGGCTGTCAAACGGCAAAAAGAGTAGTGGAAGCTTTTCATATCGTATGAACCACTCAAAGAATCTGAATAAAAACCCACAAGGGAATTCTGAGCAAGTCCTGAGCAGTGAATCTTCATAGCTCCTTCCTATGAAAGCCTAAGTTGCTTTTAAAGCTATATTGATTGATTCCCACAGAATTTATGTAAAACTCAGATTAACAGAGTTGGAAGGGTCCTTGTAGGTCATCTAGTCCAAACCCCCCCTGCCCAAGCAGGAGACCCTACACCATTTCTGACAGATGGCAGCCCAGTCTCTTCTTGAAAGCTTCCAGGGATGAAACTCCCACAACTTCTGAAGGCAACTTCTGTTCCGTTGGTTGATTGTTCTCACTGTCTGTAAATTTCTCCTTATTTCCAGGTTGAATCTCTCCTTGTTCAGTTTCCATCCATTATTCCTTGTCTGGCCTTCAGGTGCTTTAGAAAATAGATTGACCCCTTCCTCTCTGTGGCAGACCCTCAGATATTAGAAGACCGCTATCATGTCTCCCCTGGTCCTTCTCTTTACTAGACTAGCCAAGCCCAGTTCCTGAAACCGTTCGTTGTATGTTTTAGCCTCCAGTCCCCTAATCATCCTGGTTGCTCTTCTCTGCACTCTTTCTAGAGTCTCAACATTATTCAATTGAATTATTCAATCAGTTTCCATCCATTATTCCTTGTCTGGCCTTCAGGCCTTGGAAAACTCAATGTTGCTAAGAAACATGATTTACAGCTAGCATTCACAGCTTCCCCATCGTCACACAATCAACATTTGGGTGCTGGGCAACCAGGATACATTTACTACTGTTGCTGTGTCCTTGGGTGGGGGGGGTGTCATGTGAATGATAATAGAATAATAACATCCTTCCGAGGTGGGTCAAATGAGGATCCAAATTGTTGGGGGCAAGAGGCTGACTCTCTAAACCACTTAGAGAGGGCTGTAAAGCACTGTAAAGTGGTATATAAGTCTAAGTGCTATTGCTATTGGCAACATTTCTTCTCTTTTCATGCTTACAGCCTCCTCAACAGCTTTGGGAGACTTCAAATATTACTAGAAACTCTTTGATTTGCACTTAGCATATTGAAATGCTGTTGGAATAAAAAAAATGTGGCTTAGAAACCAGAAAACATAAGCAATTCTTCTTCCTGCCAGAGCCTATCAGGGACACATTTTGCATTTTAATTTCCTCTTCCTGAAACTGTGAAGTTGTACAGTACAAGGAAAAAAGCTGAATGTTCCTAGAGACCATCTGTAAGCTGCTGATACGTGCACAAAAACCTTCCTTGCCAGGCCTACGTTCCAAAATATTCTGTAACCCAAATTGAACCGTGAGATCTGCTAAGTCTAAGAAACATACAGCATCTTGCTCTACAGACAACCTTCCTATATCCTAGTTTACTGCTAAGCGGCAGACATCCATAACTCTAAAAACTTTAAGAATGTAAATATACATGCTTGGCTGAAATCCCAGCAATCCTTGAGTGGTCTGGAAATAAAAAGATTTAAAAAAAACAAGAAAAACATAATTATGAACAAAAACAAAGAATAGAAAATGATGGGGATGGCTGACCTACTCAGTCTACAGTTGGCTTCACTCAACCTCATCAAAGTCCTAAAAATCAGATGAATCTTTCTCCTTTGTCTTTGTTGTATGTTGCCCAGAGTTACTTGTGCGGTAAGATGGGCAGCTATAGAAATTGGATAAATAGATTGAAGAGATGAGATGAAATGCCATGGACCAGCCTTCTTTTTCTCCATCTCTCTCTCATTGTCTCTCATTCTTTCTTTCTCTCAATATCTCTTTTCCTATTTCTCCATTTCTCTCTCATTCTTATTCTCTCTCTCTCTCTCTCTCTCATTCTCTCCTTCCCTCTTTTTCTCTTTCTCAGCCTCTCTCATTCTCCCTCATTTTTCCTTACTCTCCCCCCCCCTCTCATTCTCCCCCCCCCTTCCTCTCTCCCCCCCCCTCCCCCCCCCCCCATCCAAATAACATCAAATCAATTTTATTATGGTCTTAGACCTACCTAGTCACTACTTTCCCTTCTTCTCATATAAGACTTAGCCTTCTATCATGCTTTGCTGTGCCAGTATTAAAATAATTCAGTTCCTTAATGTTCTAATACAACCCAAGGACAACCTCAAGGTGGATAACATTTGTTAAGTTATGTCACTCTTTACCAAAGAGTAAAATCAGGAGATGGAAGTAACTTGGAACAGAGACCAGAAAGTGATCTGGAACAAGGATAGCAAATTTCATGCCAACATAGTTTTTAGCCAGATGGCACACAGCACTTCAACTCAGCAGTTGGAAAGGACTGAAGTCGTTTTCTGAAAGGGCTTGTCAAGGTCCAGTTCTGAAGTCTGTTTTTGGAAAGACAGGATGGACCTCAGCACTTTTTAAAAGATGCTGGAAAAAGATATTACGGAGAAGTAAAGAGGTAGACAATGACTTATTTTAATATAACTGAGACATTTTAAGGAAAGATGCTCTCTTGGGTACCATTAGATGTTCTGATGTTGACCTCCAACAGGACTTAAAACTTGGAGAGATGCAGCAACATTCAAAAGGTATAATTTTCCTAGGATTCCCAATTTAAAAAAAAAACATTTCCTTTCTCCCCCCACCCACCCCATCCCCCACACACTGGCCACCAATCCATCTGATGCTGATTTAACGAGCAGTTAAAAAGCAGATCACCAAAATCACCCATCATGCACAGATTTACAATGACAAATAAACATTGTTCGGTGCAGCAAAAGCTGTTGAAAAAAACCTTTTAAAAACTTAACAAACGGACTTTAAAATCAAGAATATCAGCAACATAAACATCCAAGTCCAAATGGAGCCCACAAAAGCAGGCTTCTGAAGATAACAGGGATAACAGAATGATAGAGTTGGAAGGGACCTTAGAGGTCTTCTAGTCTAACCCCCTGCTCAAACAGGAAACCCTATCCCATTTCAGACAAATGGTCGTCCAATCTCTTCTTAAAAACCTCCAGCGTTGGAGCATTTACAACTTCTGGAGGCCAGCTGTTCCACTGGTTAATTGTTCTCACAGTCAGGAAATTTCTCCTTAGTTCTAAGTTGTTTCTTTCTTTGCTTTGGAGAATAGCTTGACTCCCCTCGTCTCTGTAAAAGCCCCTCAAATATTGGAACACTGCTATCATATTACCCCTAGTCCTTCTTTTCACTAGAGTAAACCAATTCCTGCAACCGTTCTTCACATGCTTTAGCCTCCAGCCCCCTAATCATCTTTGTTCTTTCTAGAGTCTCAACATTTTTAAAATTATCTCATGGCGACCAAAACTGGGTGCAAGGAAATGAACTGCAAAAAAGAGAAATAATGTACCACTTACCGCCATCACTAGCTCAAACGGGTACTTGTAGACTCTAACAGGGGACTGATATTTTTGCACCATTTTTACTTCACGATGCCTACGAAGAATGAGAAAAGCAATCCGTTAAATCCTCGGCTCTCCACATCAAACCCGTGGAGCAAAAAACTCCTCGATTCTTATAACGGATCTTCCGTGGGAAGTTAAAACAGGGGAGAAAGGAAGGAGAAGTGCGTTTGAGACAGGTTGTCTAACGTGAATGGCCAAGAAAAGAAAACCAATCAATCCCGAATGGATCAAAAGTGCTATAATCCCTTTTCTTTCTTTTGCTGTCACCCTGTCACTACTCATAGTTTTAAAGGCTGCTAACCCAACCCTTACAAGCTGCGGCCAATTCATGCTCAATTCATCTGCTATTTAGCAACAGGGAGAGAACAAGTGGAAAGAGGGCACACTTTACAAAATGTTCTAGGGCTACACAGTTGAGAAAATTACAGCATTTTGACAAGTGACTCAACACCAACTGGTTTGCCTTACAATGAACAAGAGACGCCCGCGGGATTTGAACCCCATCTCTGCAGCTCTCAGCGCCGCTGGAATTTTTCCTCTCTGCCCCCGTAGATGCTGCTTTGCACCCGCGCACACATGGTTGTCCTCCAAGAATCCAGGGAAAGAATGAAGCTACTCTTAGGAGAACTAATTAAATTGCTTTCTGCAAACCCAGTAGGATATGCTGCCTCCGCTTGGCATTGAATGCCCCTGAAGGTTACAACCTCAGAATGGCTTCTCAATTTGTTTTGTTTTTCTTAGTGCCTGCTACGAAAAAAGGAGACAGGTAGTCCTCGCTTTATGACCAGAAATCCGCCCCCAAATTTCTGTTGCCGAGCGAGACAGTGGCTATGTGATTTTGCCCCACATTACAACCTTTCTTGTCACCATTGTTAAGTGAGTCACTGCAGTTAGCAAGAGGTTGTTAAGTGAAACTGGATTCCCCATTGACCTGGCTTGTCCGAAGGTCGCGAATGGTGATTCCTCTGACCCTGGGATCATTGCAGAACCGTCATAAATAGGAGTCAGTTGCCCGGTGTCTGAATTTTGATCACATGACCGTGGGAATGCAGCAACAGTCATAAAGCATGGAAAAAACAATGACAAGGCATGTTTTTCAGTGCCCATTTTAACTTTGGTCACTAAAGGAACTGCTGTAAGTCGAGGACTAGCTGTACATTTCACAAATGCTTGACAACCCCCCAAGAACGAAGTCAAGCATCGGGCAAAAAATAATTAATTAAAGAGAGGTGCCGTTAAGTGATACAAGGAGACAAGTAAGTAACATGGATTGTCCCTGGGACTATGTAGGACAGACAGAATACAAGAACACAAGTGAGCGGCCAGATGAGGAGACCCGAACTCATTGGTAGCCTCACACTGCAATGAACAAGGACACACATTCAATTTCGCAGCTACTAAGATTGTTGGACGAGCAGGCACAAAAACAGCCGGGGAAGTGATTGAAGCCTGGGAAACAGGCTGCTCGTCAGTCAACGGGAGTGCTGATTTACCACCGATCTATCATCTACTTGAGGGACGCGGTGGCTCAGTGGCTAAGACGCTTGTCAACCAGAAAGGTCGGCAGTTCGGCGGTTCAAATCCCTAGCGCCGCGTAACGGAGTGAGCTCCCGTTACTTGTCCCAGATTCTGCCAACCTAGCAGTTCAAAAGCACCTAAAAATGCAAGTATAAAAACAGGGACCCCTTTGGTGGGAAGGTATCAGTGTTCCGTACACCTTCGAAGGCATTCCGTCATGCCAACCACATGACCATGGAGACGTCTTCGAACAGCGCTGGCTCTTCGGCTTTGTAATAGAGATGAGCACCACCCCCTAGAGCTGGAAACGACTAGCCCATATGTGTGAGGGGAACCTTTACCTCTACCTATCAACTACTTAAAAGAGGAGGGCTGGGCAGCACAAACAACAGCCAACGACTTCAAAGCCAGCCATCAACACACCCCAATCTAAAAAGCCATCTACAACCAACACCATATAAACACCGTACACAGAATAGCTCCACAGATGGGCTCCAGCTCAGAAGACCAAAACTCTGGTCCCAGTGACACACCCAGATTGGACCCTAAGTAACCTGGGCCCACCTTTTCAGCTTAAAAAAAGCACCCTTGGATGCTCTCAAGAAAGGGCTGCTACTCAAAAGTTCTGCAGAAAGAGAAAGGAGAACGTACCTGAAATTTAAGCGTTGGCTTGCATTAAATCCATAAATTTTCATTGAGTAGCCATCTGTGTGATGCACTCCTGGATAAAAGTTATCGCTCGCTGGTACTACAGTGGTAAATCCATCTAGAGAGAGGGAGAAAAGCAGAGAGAACAAACATTGGCCAACGCTAGAGACAGAATCAAGAATATAGAAGCTATGTTGGGAATTACATAACGGATATTTGAACCAAGAAGGAAGAGAGAACAGCTGATGATATGAAGCCCTCATAGAGATCTTGGAATGTCTAGGAGCTGTGCAAGCTTGTGGCAGCTCAAGAATGTTAGCACTAAATCCAATTTAATGTGGGTTCTCCTTGGTGATCATCCATTTATAAATTCATTTATTTATAAGTGGGATCTCTTTGAAGTGACTCTGCTTAGGAACCACAAATAAAGAGTTGCATGAATAAAGCTTCCAGCTAGAAAAATCATTAGATTAATATTAAATAATTTCTATCTGAAACAAAAACAGGTCGGAACATACTTAAAAGAGGTTGAGCAAAGATTCTAATCCAGTATAACTAAGTATGAAAATAAAAATATACTTTTTCATCCTAAACTGAAGAGCGTTTTTGTGCTAAATTTAGTAGTTGATTCCTAAACCTATACAAAATTCAGGAAATGGTTATGCTGGCTGGGGAATTCTGCGAATTGAAGTCCACACGTCTTTTTATTAAAAAAAAAAGTTTTTATCAAAAAAAAAAGTTATCAAGATCAAGAAACACTGATTTATGTGTGAGTTGTGTGGCCATATAAATTTGTTTCATAAATAAATAAATCACCCCAAAGTCAACTCAAAAGAGGCCCTCATTGTTGTTTTTTTAAAATAAAGTTTTATTCATTTTCTACTATTACATTTATTGAGTGCTTAATTAATAAACATTGCATTGTCTGGGTTATTTTGTTTGCTTAACAATACAAATTATATTCCTAATTTTTATCCTCTTTTTTCCAGCCATTGATAATATAAATTCCATGTTTGGTAATAGTCTGTCTCTTCTTTCTGTTTAATCTTCCATATAAGTCTGTCCATTTCTACCCAGTCCGACATCTTCTTCATTACCTCTTTATCTAATGGTATTTCTTCATTTTTCCAATGCTGTGCAACTACAATCCTCACTGCTGTTAATACATGCAATATTAAATAGACACCTTGTTTATCAAATTATTCTGGTACTATGCCTAATTTTAAAAAAAGTTCAGGTTTAAGATCTACATGATTTCTTGACATCTTTTCTAGCCACTAATGCCCCTCATTATTAAGATACCCTTGTCATCTTGTCGGGGATTTGGGCGGCCAAAACATTTCATAAATAAAAATAAATAATCAACCTGCAAGAATCTTTTTATTTTTATTTTTTTTGGGGGGGGAAGAAAAGGAATACAGTACATATAAACCCAGTGTGAAATCCTTTTTTTGGGTTGTTTCAACTTCAGGAAAGTTTGATTCTCCACCTCTCCTTCCCTACAGCTTATGACTAAGTTATCCATTAGCTTTGTATCTCTGAAAACAATCCAATTCTTTCGCCGCCCACACTGGCCACACCATCAGCCCGCCTTTCCCGAGCCCTGCTCCTATGCATTTATGCAAGCTTTTATGGTCCTTTCATGCCGGCGATGAATAGATCCATTTAATCTTAGCAGGGAGACCTTCTGAAGCAGGGTTGGGAAGGCTCTCAGCCTTTTCTGTCGCCCGTGCAAATTGTTTAGCTTTCCCGATGTAATTGATGGATGACATCGAGGCAACCAACAGAAGGTTTTAATCAAAGCGGTGCAGGCAGGCAGGCAAGCAAGTCGTTCTACCTCTTCTAAAGCAATCCAGCTGTTTAGGTTTCCAAAAGCTCCGGCTATCTTTACATTCTCAACCCTTACATAAATAGGCATTCTCAAGACTTCCTGCCTTCCTGCCTTGGAAAAAAAAAAACTCTCTTTGGAGGTGTGCAGTGCAGAGCAAGGTGCTTCCGTCATTGCCAAGAATTATCTTAATCTTCTGGGTCGGTTTGGGAAGCAACAGCAAGGGGGAAAAAATGTTTGGTGCATCCTAAAAATAATAATAATAATAATAACCTATTTATTTTGAGAAGCTGTTTTGGCCCCGAAGTCTGCTTGGTTGTATTCTTGCAGTTAGTGGCAGATGGTATCAACACACATGCATGTGTAAATATACCTGTGAACGTATCGGTCCAGGGAGAAAACGCTGGTAAACACGAGAGCCCAGTGGATGTATTATGCAAGAATAACCTGGAGAATTCTGCATGTCTGCGAGAGTATTCAGTAGCTGATGTAAAAGTCTTCCAGGGCTGGATCAGATACTACTCGAGGCTGCTTTACCACAACAAGAATGAAAATCCAACATTTCATGATCTCTACAGTTAGAATTTCATGTTCTCTGCACACCAGAACAACTAGACACAAGAACAGTTTGTTCCCCAAAAGCCATCACTCTGCTAAACAAATAATTCCCTCAACACCGTTCAACTATTTACAAAGTCTGCACTACAATTACTGTTAATCTTCTCATCACTTCTCATCACCCATCCCCTCCCACTTGTGACTATGACTGTAACTTGGTTGCTTGTATCCTTACACAGTTTATATTGACTGTTTCCTAGTATGATTTGATTCCTTATTGTACCCTATGACTATTATTAAGTGTTGTACCTGATGATTCTTGACTCTTGATGAATGTATCTTTTCTTTTATGGACACTGAGAGAATTTGCACCAAGACAAATTCCTCGTGTGTCCAATCACACTTGGCCAAGAATTCTATTCTATTCTATTCTATTCTATTCTATTCTATGCTATGCTATGCT